AGAGAGAGAGAGAGAGAGAGAGAGAGAGAGAGAGAGAGAGAGAGAGAGAGAGGACGTGTCGGGATGGTGTCTTTTCTCCCCTCATCTATGTAATTTTGACAATTGGCGCCAGCCATCTTTTTGTTCGTGGCTATCTCTGACTTTCCTTCTTATTGGTAAATGACGAATGACTTGATTTTTCATCTGAGTCTATGTTTCCGTGTGACTTGTCAGATTGGGTACGATGATCGGCTGAGTATGACTTATGTGCACTCTGGGCTATGATAATGTGAATCTACGTGACACCCGCGGCCTAGGCCGCGGGCATTTCGGCTGTTGCGGCCGAAAAAGCCGGCCTCGGCCGCGGCCAATGAGGCCCAGTCCGCGGCCTGATTTTTCAATATTTTTTTTTTACCCCTAAAAATATGTAAAAAAAAAACAAACAAAAATAGGGGTGTAGGGCTTGGAAAACCCTACAATCCTATGTTTTTTATTTTGGAAACTGACTTCGTTTAAGATTTTTGAAAAATAAAAAACGAAGTTCGATTTAAAGTTTAAACAAAATATTTAAATATAAATAAAAAGAAAAGCAGAATTTCTTTTTTTTCATTTTTTATCATGAGGGATATGGTCCCTGAGTTGTGTTGTATTTTTTTTAGAAATGATTTTCGGTTTTTTGTTGGGAATTAGGTGTTTTTAAAAAAAGAAGATGCAAAAATTTTAAACAAATAAAGAAAAAATGGGTTGATTGATTGATTGATTTGATTGATTTGATTGATTTGATTGATTGATTAATTGATTTGATTGATTGATTGATTGATTGATTGATTGATTGATTGATTGTGTGTATGTGTGTGTGTGTGTGTGTGTGTGCCGGGGGGAGGGGAGGGAGGACCCCTCCCCCTATGTATCCCCGGCGTCCGCGGTCACCGCGGGCATGACCGCGGCCCATGCGGTCGACCGCGGGCCCGCGGTCATGACCGCAGCGGCCGCGGTCGAAAAACGTGTGCCGTGGGCAGGGGAGGGGGGCTACCCGAGGTCGGGGTCGGGATTCCGGGGGCGCACCCCAGGCCCCAGCCCCCTACATTGAAAAAAAAGAAAAAAACTTAAAAATTGCAGGGTCCATTTAAGGGGGGGGGAAGAAAAATAATGGACCCCCTTTCATTTTTTTTTTTTTTACTTTTTTTTTCCCGTTGTATTGAACCATTGCGAAGTTTTTTTTTGTTTTTTTTTTGTTTTTTTTTGGGGGGGGATTGATTGATTGATTAATTGGTTGATTGATTGATTGATTGATCGATTGATTGGGTGATTGATTGATTGATTGATTGATTG